GTTGCTCTGTGAATAATTTCTCGTCTTGTGCCACACTTCTGGTAATGCAGGGTAAACAGAAAAATCTCAAGGAACTTTCTGATAGAAGCCAGTGTAAGAAATGACTCCTGCAAAAATTTAGGAAGTACATTTATATTTTAAATTATCCCTTTAGTTTGTGTCCTTCCTGTCTTTGTCATGCTTCAAATGAAGTGATACATGAATTGGTAGCTTATTTTCCGAAAGTTGTATGTGTCATCAGTTAAACGTGCTTCTGTTTGTGATTCACTTTAGTAAGAGAAAAAGTGATGTTGATTTGAATTTAGCATGTTACAGTGAATACAGTGAATCTATCTTTTTTAAGTTAATTTGTAGCCTTTTGAATTTTCAGGTACCTAGGAGGTATTTGTCATGTTTATTATGTGAAGCTGAAGATAGATATTCCTGTGTAATTAAGACTTGTATAAATATGTTAGTGGTTCTGGTGGCTCCTCATAGGTGTGAGGGGTGATGTGAATTGGAGTGCGCGGCAATATTAAATTTTAAGTCTCTGATGCTTGTCAGAAGAAGAGCAAAGGTTTTCTCAGGACTTTAAAACTATTCTGTAAATTTGTTTCTAAGTTTCTAAATTAAATGTCTCGGTACTTGTCACTTATCTGCGTGAAAATTATGGCAGAAAAGCTATTTCCATTACAATTACTCTGCCTTGGGGCTGAGATCTTGCCTGCTTATTTATGGACTTTTTCCCTTCACGCTCAAACACAAAACATCTGAGATTAAAAACAAGTGTAAAATGATCTTCAGCTAGTTTATTTTGTATTTATGTTTTCTTTCTAATTTGTTGAATATTGAATTTACCTGTATGACAGGAAGGATCTGGAAATTGGCTACCAGGATTTGATTCTTTGCCATAGCTTTAGCATTGCAGAAGTGTACCAAAAAGAAAAAAAATGATTATTCAGTTGTGCTGCCAGCTTTTTAGTGGCTCACAAACCCATTCCAAGAGCATTAAAAGGATGGTTTGGTCCCAGATAGTCAAAGTGGCAATTTGTTGATAGCAGAGACTTGAAAATGAAGTTGGTTCCCGTTATGGAATAGTTGCACTCAAAGCACAGTGCATGTTTTGAGTAGTAAATTATTAACAGAAGAGGCTCTTATGACGAAGTTATGAAAATTGTTGTGCAACACCGTAAAAGAAGTTTTTTTGAGGAAGAAAAGTTATTTCATAATACGCATTACTGGTGGGGGGGAAAAAAAAAAGCTTACAGCAAAGATAATTTGGCTTCAGAGAAATAAACTGAATTTGTTTTTTACTTCAAAAATGTTAACTTTGCAGTAAGGAAGAGGCTTTTCTTAAGTGAATGATGGCTTCAGAGAAATAAACTGAATTTGTTTTTTACTGCAAAGTTAATATTTTTGAAGTAAGGAAGAGGCTTATCTTAAGTGAATGGAAGTGTCCTGCCCACCTCACAGCCTCCGGTGCTGGGCTTGGTTGGATCTGACTTCACTCTGTACTTGATTTTCTTCTTGGAGCGATGGCATGAATTCGGTCTGGCATTAAAGGAAGGGATGCAGTGACTATAGGTAACACCTCTTTCCCACAACACTCAAAGTCATTGAGGGGCTGAACATACGTGCAAGCTGAGAAGGGAAAATGTGTTTGTTCTTTGTGGAGAGTCTTCTTATCACCTTGGCTTGCATTATACTTGTTTCTTCTGCACTAGCAAATGGCTGCAGGGTTTGGTTATGGCATCCTGCTTTTTACATGTAACTGGTGCTATTTAAAAAGCAATTTGCATCAGAGGAGGAGTCGTCTTCAATGTCCACAAAATAAGAAGCAGTGGGAATATAGAGGCTGGGTTATGATAGCTCAGAATGGGAGCTTCGGAGGAGCAGTGGGAGATCTGGGATTCTGGCATTGCCTGCACACTTCTTGCTGAATTACATCATGCATATGTGCCTGCTTCTATGCAAAAAATGATTTTTAAGTATGGATTTTTTTCCCAACCCTTTTTTTTAACTCTAGTCATGAACATCTAGCTTCGCTTCATGTCTTATCACTGCAGCACTTGTAGGAGTTACACATAAATAAGTATACATTAAAAACAAAGTATTTTGAATAATAGTACCTGAGAATATGAGGCTGATTTAACTCCATATCTGCTGAAATGAAAATGTTTGTGTGTGGCTACCTTGAGTACAAACCCAGGAGAATGAAACATGGGCATCCCTTGAACTATCCAGCACAGCACGTGTTGCAACTGTTCTGCTGCTCCTCTATAACTGTTCCTCTTTGGCTGCAGATGGGCAAAAATAAAAGAAAAAACAAGCCCTCCAATGCTGCACATACTTGCTAATATATATTAAAAAATATAGCCAAATACTTGACTTTTCTTTCTGGCAATAAGCTTGACTAAAGGTCTGTGCAGAAATTCAGGCTTTAGTTTAGAAGTAGCAAAGAACAGTAGCGTTTAACAGCTCCACTCATTAAGAAGCAGGCAAAGGACAGGTGCTGCTTATGGTTAGATGTTTTTGGTGGGAGGATATTTTATTTTGGGAAGTGAGGTGTGCCTTCCAGCTTTTCTTTGATTGCGATTTTGATTGCATGTGTTCAGCATGTTCAATGTTCAGACGTATGGGGAGCTAAAACTGCCTGGAGGGAAAATTTCTCCCTTGATAAAACTGCTTTTTCTGACTTGTAAGGCAGATTTATACCTTGAAAGTGTGTAATGTGAAACAATTACTCTGGCTTAAAATCTTCCCTAAAAGGGACATTTTTTCTTTTCCAATTTGGCCTCAAGAAAGGATTGCTGCTTTGCTCATTCAGTGCCATGAGTGCCTAAAAGAAGTTACTAATGTGCTTGACTCTGTGCTTAGATATGCAGCGATCCTCTCTGCTACAAAAGTCTCCTTTCCTTTCCTTTCCTGCAGCATTTGCAAGCGATGTATTCGAAAGATGGATCACCACTGCCCGTGGGTGAATAACTGCGTGGGTGAGAAAAATCAGAGATTTTTTGTTCTGTTTACGGTAAGTGCAAATCAGCGTGATCCCAGTGTGACTCCACCTGGATTATAGCAGTTTTGGTCGTGTTTATTAGCGAGAGCAGTAATTGCTTACGGGCACAACTGCTTTCTCCTCCTTCCTCCCTTTCTACCCAAGATATTTTCCATGCAGGAAGATATTTCTGCCCCTATTAATCATAATCACTATGTTGTAAGCTGCTAAATCACCTAATTTTGCTGTGTTTTATATTATAACACTTGGTGAAATTTCATTTAGGGAGCTAATCTTTACGCTTTCCTAGTTTCCTAGTTTTAGCTTCGAACTTGATTAGAATTTGATTTTACATCATTGTGTTAAATTAAAAATGGAAATAGCACCGTGGTCAAGGCTGGCTGTGAGGAATGTCTGGTTTACTACCTGGCAATAGTCACAAGTAAGCACTCTCTCTTGTTTCCAGATGTATATAGCCCTAATTTCAGCTCATGCGCTCATACTGTGTGGGTTTCAGTTTTTCTCCTGTGTCCGAGGGCAGTGGACTGGTAAGCACATACTTAATTTCCCTGGCATAATCGAGCACATATTAACGGGCACTCTTGACATTCCACTTGAACCCCATGCAGGAAATATTGGACTTTCCTCTTTTTAAAGTGAGGTCCTGAAAATCTTTTCTGTAGCTGTTCACCGTTAAGTCCAGTTTAGATGAGTTGTGTTTTTTTTTAAGATTTCTGAAGTCTTCCATCTCTTTGCTTTGATCATTCACTGTAGGAGCTGTGGTTGTCAAGGGCACTGTCACTTGCTTCCCATGCAGAGAAAATTTTATCACCTCTTTAATAGGAAGAAAATAGGTACCCAGGCCCCAGCCATCTCAGCAGCATTAGCTGAAGCGACCAGCTGGGTTGTGTGTCACACCACAGACCTGTGAACAGCTGAAACTTAAGCCTGTTTCCTACCCGATTCTGTTACAGGAGCCAACTGGGGGCCTGCTGTAGAGCAGAAATTTCCTAAACTGCCCTGGTTGTTTGCTTAGGGCCCTGATTGTGTTCCCTAATATGCCAGTGCCCCAGGGCTGTCTCTGACCTTGTGCCTTTGAGAGAAGGTGGTTTGGTCATGCATTCTTCCCAGGAAATCCATCCAGCCTCTTTCACTCAATATTCTGTTAAACGGATGGTAACCTAGTAGCATTTTTTAACCTGAAAAGTTCTCCTTGCTGCATATAATCCCAGTTTACTTAACTGGTTTCCAGAGTTACTTAGTCAATCAGATGGTCTCCAGAGATGTGACTGAGTACAAGTCATCACCTTAATGCTTTGTGTGGTGCTGGAGGGAAAAAAAAAGAAATAGCAACAGGCTGAAAAATCTGGATTGTGACGGGAGTGATGCAGAGTGATCAGCAAGGCAGTGATGATGGTTCTTCCATCCTTTGTCATACATAAGACTTCAAGCTGCTGTCATCTCTGTACACGTGCAATTCTGTCTATAGAGAGCCAGAAGCATAACTTAATCTTTATTTCCTTGGACAGCAAATAAACTGCTACCGTGATAGACAATAAAATTTGAAGTAACTGTGAAATATTGTTTTAACTGTTGAAACTATTTAGCTTTTATTGCTGGCTGTTGAAGAGAGGATGTCTTAACCTGGTCTTACTCTTCAGATCTTTTTATAAGTACACATGTCCTTTTGCAGAATGCAGTGACTTCTCCCCACCTGTAACTGTGATCCTGATGATCTTCTTGTGCCTTGAGGGTTTTCTGTTTCTCACTTTCACTGCAGTCATGTTTGGCACCCAAATTCACTCAATATGCAATGATGAAACGGTAAGGACTACCATTTCCATATGCTTTACCAGTTTTACTTGGAGGATATGATATTGTTGTAGCTTTATTTGCCAGTGAGGGTATTTTAATTCTTGAGAAAGACCCAAATCTGAAAGAAATTATAGTTTTTATATTCTACCACTGTAAGAATATAAATGTTTGAGTTTACTTTCTAACAGATACTCTTGCATTATCTGCTTTTCTCTCATAAAATTTAGAGCTAGGTTTTCAGCTACACAGTTTACACTGCTTCCCTCAGGTGTATGCTTAAACTAGTTATTTTGGTATTAGCCCTTCATGCTGCTCTTCTCCTTTGCTGTGCTTTATTAGAACCAGCTACACAGTTTACACTGCTTCCCTCTGGTGTATGCTTAAACTAGTTATGCTGCTCTTCTCCTTTGCTGTACTTTATTAGAATATAAACATAGTTTGGGCATTCGGCTCTCTTGCCTGCCTCTCTGCAGTGTTAAGCCTTGAAAGGATGTTCTTTGTGCTGGATAATTGACTGGAATTTGAATAATGCGGCTGTTCAGAGTTTTCTCATCTGATGCTGCTCAATAGTGCCCTGTATCGAAGAGCTTTTGTGTGTTACTGAGTTGGAAAACAATTGGTTAAGATCCAGCCTTCATTAGTGGGAAGTCAGTACAGAAAATGGTTATCAGAAAAATGCACTTGGGAAAACAAGCTTCAGTAATTGCAGCAAAAGAATCTTCCTGGAAGCCTTATTGCCTGCTTTCATTAACTGAATAAACATCTTTTTGTGCAGGTATACGGTGTGCTGATCTGCTAGCTTTTACATCAGCCCTGCTGGTCATTTCTGTTTCTTCTCTTAGCTGGGGTATGTGGAGGGGAATCAACCTGTTTCATAGTCACCGTGTGTCCTGAGTCCTCTGCCCTGTACCTGCAGGGCAAAGTCAGCCATTCCCACTGCTTCCTTGAGAAGCAAATAACAGGGAGAAACTAATCAGCTCGCTAGCTATGACTTAATTAAAGAATGCCAGATAGCCATCGCTTCTGATAAATGCTGCATACGCTTCACCAAACTGTGGATTTCAGTGTGTCACTGCATGTCTTCACTTGCAGGAGATTGAAAGACTCAAGAGTGAAAAGCCAACATGGGAGAGGAGGCTACGCTGGGAAGGAATGAAGTCTGTTTTTGGGGGGCAGCCCTCGCTCCTGTGGATCAATCCTTTTGCAGGATTTCGAATCAGGCGACTTCTATTGAGAGCAAAGAAAGGAGGACCTGAGTTTTCTGTTTGAGTTTAATTATGCTGGAACTTGCAAGAATACTATATAATATTTATTTGGGGCCAGAAAGGCTGTCTACATATAATCTGTGACCAGGTGAAACTGATACTGGACATTTGCTTGTAGCAAGCAGAGTTTTATACGTTTGTCACAGACATCTCATTAACTTTCAGAGACACAAACTGGATCTGTAATGGTCTTAACAACAAGATGACAAAGGAAAAGCACGTGGTCACACTAAAGAAGCCAAATGTCATGCTACTGTAATTTATTTTATGAGATTAATTATGCATTTTTTGTTAAACCCTTTTTATTTGGTAATGTTTGGGGACTTACTGAGTGTTTTTATAAAAAATTATGTACTTAAGTGCAGTTGTCAATCATAAGAAAGAGCATTATTGTGAAAGTTGATCTCAAATGAGACCCAGCCTTCTAAATCCAGTTTTCAGGGAATAGCAGTTTGTTCAATTTTAATTTATATTTCAGCTTGTCCTAATGAACAGAGCTGTACTTGTGTCCCACTCCAGACACACATTCCTCATATGCAGGTGATTCAAGGGACTCGTGCACATGGCAGCATAGCCCCTCAGAGGCACTGTTACACTCCTGCCAAACGTCTTCCCAGGCTCACAAAAGCATGTTTTGTGTTTGGCATTACTGATCTCATATGGCACTGAGGTAAGTTCTAAATGTTCAGTGAACAAGGCTTTTAACTGACAACTACGGGCCAAATTCTGCCCTCACCTTCATGTCTCCTATTCTTAGTGCATTGATTCCAAAGGAACTCTCACTTGGGTGTTTCGGGATGGTATTTAGTCCTCCGTGCAGGAATAAGTGGGACCAGTGACTATATCCTTATGGAATTACAGCAAATGTACTGCAGATTGAAGGTAATGCACTGAAAAATCAGTTGTTTTTGTAAGGTCTTGCCTTGCCCTTTGCAGACTTTTCATAGGAGGGAAGCTGTTAACTCGCTGATACCTTGAACAGACATCAGAGAAGGGAGGAAGGTTTCCAGTGCTGCCTCCTTCTCAAGCACAACAGATCTTAAGTGTCGAAGAAACCATATCAGCAACAGCAAGGGAGTTACTTTTAACCATTTTCCAACCAAAACTACTTCCAAAACTACTTTCAAAAGCGTAAGAGAGCAGTACAGATCCAGAACTGCTTTATGTGGGCCTGACAATAACAGTAGTGCTAAGATATATTTGTAAATCTGCAAGTAATGAAATTCAGCCGGAAGTGGATTAATTAAACATTACGTTTAGAATATTTTTGTGATATTGCTAATGTGTTCTATAAATTACCAACGATGTAAAGATTAAGAAAAAAAGGAGCTTTGATGCATAGCGTGAAACTGTGCCTAGGAAGTAAAGAACTCCCTGTTCTGGGACTTGCCTTAAACCTGTCCAGTCTTTGCTCTTGCTTTGCCAGTGCTATTGAGGATCTGTCCCACCTCAAGCAGTTCAACGTGCTGAAGACTCTTGTATTAGTAAGTTTACTTACTACAGAAGCTGCACTTTTGTTTTCTGATGATCTGCTGCTTCATTTCCAGTTGCCAGTAACAGTTTGTGCTGTTTCCAGCTTCATCAAGTTTTATACCATGGGCTGGGTGAGGAGATCTGTTAATTAGACATAACCCTGCAAACAAAACTGCAATATTAGCTGATGCACTCACTTTGCTTGGGGGAGATGGTGTGTGATGCTGGAGCATTTCTAGGTGGTCACATCCAATGAATTTGCAGCCAAATGAACAAAACGGTCTCATGTACACGAGGGAAAAGTTGGAGGTTCCACAAGGATCTTTGCATAATTCAGTGGCACATCTTAAAGATTGGGAGAAAATGTATCTGACTTTGTCACGAGGCTCTTAATGTGTATTGTTTAATAAAATATCCTGATGAAAATCAGAAAATATCACTTAAAGCAATTGAACCTTGTGACTTAGCAAGTGCGTGCGTGTGTGAAATCAAGTTTACTTGGCTTTTCAGACCCTTGTTATGTTGTACTTTTTTAATGTAAGAAATAAAGTGGTGAATCAAAGTCTTAAAGTTGATTAACCTCTGCTATGTGTCGCTTTTGGCACATATATGTGCATATTTGCCTATATTCAGGTTCTAAGAACTTCAGGGTAGCAGTCTTGCATCCTTTGGCTTCTGATGGCTATTTAAATGTATATTGAGTTAATTCACATTAAAGATGCAGCTCCCTTTTCCTTCCTGAGGGTTTTAAGCTGCACTAACTGTTTAGCTGCTCGCAAACATTTCACCTTTTGCATCTTCTGGTATAATTGCTTATCTTATTAGGGCCTGGTTGTGTAAGGCCAAGGGGAGAACACAGAATGTGTCCCTTGGGAAAAGTTGGATACAGTTGGCTTTGCACAGGCAAGGTTTTTCATAGAAAAAAGTTCTGTTTTACATTCAAATATTGACCTTTTTGCCTCCTACTTCGGTAGTTTCGGGTACAAAGACAACTCCTTATCCAGCCCAGGTGGATTATTGTAATTTCAGAGTTGTGAAAAGAGCAGCTGACCCAATGCCACAGCACGAGGAGGAAACAAGTTCCACAAGGCAGTAAGGAAGGGAGCAGCTGGAAGCTGCTGTTGTTGCAAACAAATCCAACGAAGTTTGGTGTTTAACCTTTCCTGGGTATGATATCATCCCTCCTTTAGCCACTGCTTGGCCAACTTATTGGGATAAAAATGATTCCTATGTAGAAAAGAGCTCCAAATAAATCCATTGTTATGAACTTTATGCCTGCACCTTGTCTGTTTAGCAGGTCAATGCTCTCGTTACGATTGTGTTCAATAGTTAAGTTGTGCTGTATTGACTTTTTTTCCCTAAGAGATGAGCTTGTTTGAACCTCAAATGGATCAGCAAGCTCTGCAGGGGGAAAGGGCTGGTTTATATCCCTTCTTGCTTCAATTTCTCCTTGTAATGTTGGGCTCTTTCACAGGCCCTTTCTGCAGTTTTAAACCACCAGCAGTTCATCTAGGGTCATCTTCATGCCCATTCTGTAGGCAAATGCCACGTACCTCTGAGTGCTTTCAGCAATTTCTAATAGCCCAGTGTTAATAAGCAAATGCATTCAAAGGGGCAGGGGAAGGGAAAAGGGACAAGCTTTGCTGCTCATGTGTTTTCCAAACGTTCTCTGGAAGTGGATAAGATATAATAGCTTTTAAAGGCAGAAATTAGACTGCAGAATGTTTCTTAAGTCTGTTAATGACACCAAGCTGCAATGCACTGACCAGCTCTGGTCCTTTAATCCATATTTTGGGTTAGCTGGTGATACAATTGTAGGTGCCATTTAGAAATAAAATGCATCTCTTGCAGAGAAATGGGCAACACTTCATTTATTACCTGAGCTATGTCACATTATTCAGCCAGCATCTTGCCACACTGCTTATTTTTAGAATATTTTTGAACATTTTTTATATTTCTTAACAAGCTCATAATTCCAATAAAGCAGAATTCTAGTCACTCCTGAATATTTGCTTTAATTTTGAGTGGGGTTTCACCTAAGGAAGACAGGAAGAGGGGTGTGTGTGTGTGTATATATATATATGTGTATATATATATAAATTAAGGTCTGTTGGCCTCTTGTATGACAATAAATAATTCCCACAGCTAAGTGTTCACCAGCCTAGCTGAACTTTAGAGAGTAAATTGGATTTTCAAGTGCATTTGCAAGATGAAATACTTTGTTTGTGGACAGTTTTATTGTCCACAATAGGAGTTTTTAGACTGCTTAAAAAATAGTCTGAAGTGAAAACTGAGCTTTGCAGCTGTATATAATTCTTTTTTTCTATGGTGTGCAGAAAAAAGGTATTTGCACTGAAGAATGCAATAGAGAAATTAGATTTTGAATTAAAGAAAAAAAGGCAAGCTCTCCAGTTGAGAAATGTGGACCATACAGAATTTATTTTCCCTGTAGATTTTTATTTTCATTAGTAAGTATAAATTTACATTTAATTTCTAGAAAACGAAGCTGCTTGATGGAGGAACTGGAAGCGATGTTACATAAGT